TTGTTTTGTTTTGTTTTGTTTTGTTTTGTTTTGTTTTGTTTTGTTTTTGATAGACCTGGACCTAGAAATTCTGCTTCAGACTTCAGGGTCCTGCACATGGGAAATAGCTGTGGTGAGGGAGTCACTTCCACTAATACTGTCTTTCTGGAGCTCTGCCCTAAGATAATGTGATGCCAAAGGGCCCTGTGGGTACTTTGCTGGAGCAATTATTTGATTCAAATCAATTCAATTCAAAATCACATATTGAGTGAGTACTACTTATAAACACTGGGGTAGGAGTAGGAGTTGAACCAAAGATGAAAACAGCCCAGAGCTTGAAGCTTATAGTCTTTTAGGAGTCTTAAATTTTCCTGAAGTTTGTTCTGAATCAGACACTTGTCTTTTTAAAATCTTTAATGTGTATCTTCTGCTTTCAGATTTTTTATCATCTCAAAAAACACAAATTTAACTGGACACTGTGCTAGGGGTTGATGATACCGTTTTAAAAAGCTGCATTGCTGATTGCAGTGTTGTTGATGGCATCTGAGTCACCAACACAACCAGCTTATATCAGTTCAAATTGCAACTGTAACATTTATAGTTTTGCTATGTATAGTTGTAAGCATCTGACTACTGCTTTATGACTTCTGGTATAGCCATGCACGAGCAATTACATTTTGAAGTACATATTATTTTATTATAAATAACTTTCCTTTTTGTTTTGTTTTTGTTTCTTTGGAGGGGGCTGGTAAAACAGAACATTGTTGATTTTCTTAAAAATGTGTGTATGTGTAGTTAGACTATAGTATGTATGTACCCCATTTAGGAATAGTAGAGAGAGCATTACAAAAAGGCATCTGATAGGGTTGGGAACTAATGGCCTAGTCAAATAAATCTAAGTGACTTATCCTGGCACTTATGGCCATCATTATCTTGTCCCAGGTTTATTCCTCTTTGTTATATCTAAGATCAGGCCAAGCTGTTTTACCTAATATGCCTAGTTTTTGAGCGGTGCCTTCTACTCCCACAGCTGTGAGGTCACCTTGTTCTATACCACAGGACCCTGTCACCTTTGACACATCTAATTGACCATTCTATTCATAGCCTGTCCAATTGCCTAAGGGAGTTGCTCAATATGACTGATAATAATTAACTAGATCAATAAAATTTTCTCTTGCAAAGATTGAATTTGAGACCCAGACAGTAAAGCGGTTAATAGCAGGGTCAGAAGATGAACAGCATACAGAGAAACAGGTGTAACTAGAAGTTAGGACACAGCAGAATAAAGAATAGACAGTCTTGAGTATGTAGAAACAAAATGAGAAGTTAAATGGTAGTAGGTACAGTGAGAAAATCCCCATATAGTGACAGAACATAGACAGGAATCCAGATAAAATACCTGATCCCTTGAGCTGCCTTGGATCTGGTATAACCTCTAGTTCCCAGATGGAATTCAATCTTTCGTGAGGCCTCAGTCCTGCATGAGTGACATTCCTGTCTTCTTTATTTTCCCACATAGTGTTGGAAGAAATCTTTATCACTTAAAGTAATGTGATCTTTGCAATCAAAGATCCTAACTACCACATTGTCATAAAGCATGGTCTCCTATTTCTGTGTCTTTGTCATCTCCTCTGCTTGCATTGTTCTGCCCTCAGTCTTGTTATTGCAGCTTTCAGCGCTCTGTATCCAGAGTCCAGCTCAGATGCCACCTCCTCCAGCCACGACCCCCTCTCTCCTCAGAGCCCCCATTTCTGCCGCTTTTAAGAATATTTTTCATTCCCGGGGCATCTGGCTGGCTCAGAGGAGCATGCAACTCTTGATCTTGGGGTTGTGAGTTTGAGCCCCATGTTGGGTGTAGAGATTACTTAAATAAGTAAATAAGTAAATCTTTTTTTTTTTAAACATCACGCCCAACTCTGTATTATATAAGAACATCGTCTCTATTAGATTATGAGCACCTCGAAGTAAATACAAAGACTATTGTATGTTTCCTTCGCAGCAGAGCTAAACATGCGCAGAGTAGATGCTTCATTATTTACTGCTCCTTCTACTGGTATATTGCTTATCTTCTCCCTGTTTCATGGTGTCAGCTATCCTCAAGAACATGGCATTGAACCAAAACTGGTTTGCACATAGCAAATTTTTAATATATGTCAGCTGAAAGGAAGATCTATCTTTTACTTGATACCCGGTAAGCATCACATCCTGTGCCCTGGGCATCAAAAAGATATACCCAATATTTCAAATTAATGTTTCAGTAACAAACATGTTCTTCCTACTGCAATGCTGAGCACCCTCTAAGTCACTCAGGCTTAAAAACTTTAAGTTGTCTTGTGGTTCCTGGGTGGCTCAGTTGGTTAAGTGTCAGACTCGACTTCAGCTCAGGTCATGATCTCCACAGTTTGTGGGTTTGAGCCCTGAGTCGGGATTGGTGCTGACAGTGTGGAGCCTGCTTGGGATTCTCTCTCTCTCTCTCTCTCTCTCTCTCTCTCTCTCTCTCCCTCTGCCCCTCTCCAGCTCGCACACACACACTCTCTCTCTCTCAAAATAAATAAACTTAAAAAAAAAAAACACAAACCTTTAAGTTGTCTTGCTACTACATCTAAAGTTCCATTGTGATAGTCTGAGTTTCCCCCAAAGTAGAACCTGAGACATAATGCCGGTAATTTATTTGGAAGTATAATTCCAGAGACCAGGAGTGAGGACTAAAACTAGGAAGGGGAAAGAGCCAATACAAAGAAAGGCTTTTGGTTGTCTCCTACTATGGAAGACTGGCCTGTGGGACTGTGAGATTTATGAAATGCATCTCAGGACCATCTGACCAAGAGAAAAAAGAGAAGAATCAACTCTCCTTCCTCATTGGTCAAGGATTGCCTCACAGACTGTTAACTTCCCTGTGCTTCCGGGTTGCACATGCATAAGAGCCAAGCATGTTTCTGTGGGCATACTGTAAGATGGCATTACAGAAGCCCTAGGGTAGGAAGTGAGAG